CCATGGAGAAAGAAGACAGAACCTCTCTATCTGTTTTTAAAGATGTAACTTAAGAAGATTAACGTCACTAAACTAAGGTTAGCCTTTATGAACAGCTCCTTACCCTTTCTTAATGTGGTAAAAAATGAGAAAATTCTTTCAAAGACTGGCTTATTTTCAGAGAACTTTCTCAATGTTTACTACCAGGGGCAACAAAGCACACATCAAACTTGTGTCAGCTGTTTGACTATACAGTGATATAATTCCAAAGTCAGAGCTGTTTTTCTTTCTCATGCAGCTACATCAGTGGCTGTACCTATAGTTCTGGCTCCCTAAGCACTGACCTTGCAGAGCTGGCTAAAGCACATCTGAGCTCCTTTCCAGGTTAGCTTCCTTGTAAGAAGTAGGTAACCTAGGGATAGATAGAGGAATGAACTCAAATCTTCCATAGATACAGTATTTGGACATGAATGGGGCATGAAGCCAGACCAAGGAACTTAAAAACACTCTCAGATCTTGCCGTGTGAACACAGCCAAGATGACCAGTGTTTGTTTGCAAAGATTTGTAAGACTGTCAGTGACACCAGAGTCTGTGTGTGTCTGTGGCAGCTTTTCAGCTTGCCTCTGCTGGGCTTCTAACATTAACATTCCTTTCAATCAGGGATGCAGAGAGGAGCTAATGACTCATAGCTCCTACAGGTATGGAGTACTTAAAGAACTGAGTGCCATGCCATCTCTTGTAATTACGCTGATAGGTTTGACAGGCCTAGAAACTTTAATAACATCTTAAAAGCAGACTTCCTGAAGTAAACAAGAAGCTCTTAACTAGAGGGAAATGGGAGAAGCAGAATGTAATTGCCTATTGCTCTGCTGCTTGTTTCCTCTTTTCTAAGGCAGCAATTCCTCCAGATATACCTTAGCTCTACAAAGCAATGAGATCTCATGACAGCTCTCATCACCCAAAATTATGTTCAGGGACTTATCCTGATTTTCTGATGATTATAAACAAATAGTTTTACATAGTGCACAGCTGGGGATTTTCCCAAGGACAAGACACAGTTTTGATTGTCTCAGTGGACAAAAAAAAAAATGTAGTACAAATTTGCAGTAGTTCTCCACAAAGCAGTTAACACAGGGAACATTAAGCTGGATGCCAGAAAAAAACCCCATCTTTTATGGGATTCATTGCTTTAGACATGGAATCATGTGCTAGATCATTCTCCATTCTCTGAAGAATATCAGAGGAACTCTCAGGTATCTAAAGTCTAAGTCTCAGGTATCTAAACTGAGCTCTTTTCTTTTTTAAGCAAGGGATGGTTCAGAAGATTCACCACAAGTCTAAAGCAGTGTTTTTAGCAGAAAAAAGGTGGAGTTTTAATTCATGAAGCTGTTTGTCATGGTTTCAAATATGTATTGCCATCTAACTTGGGCTGTAGAAATTAGAAGACTGAAAATGTCTAAGGAATTAAGAAATCTCTTTTTTTATTGGCAGTTTTTTATGGTTAGCAGGACTGCTATGTATTTGCTGTAAAGGAAAAGGTGTATTTTCAAAGGACAAGAAACAAGTTAGAAAAGAATATAGCATTTTCTCCTTAGAACAAGCTACTGGATCTCACAGCAGTATTAGCCCCTGGAAAACATCATGAGCAAGAATGAATGATTGTTCAGCAAATTCACCATTTATGAAGAAATAATTTATTTTTTTTTTAATTAATCTACAAAGTAAATTCCTGTGATAAGACTAGACTATTCCAAGGAAAATTTCCCCTCCATTAGGCTTTCACTTTTATAAGTTTCATGTAATTTCTGCTTTAAGTTTTTCCAACATTCTCTGCTCTCAGTGTTGTTTTGCAATAAGCATACTGTGGTAGACCTTTCTGAACATTAAAATTCAGGTGAACATTGAAGCTAACCCACTTGGTTTCATGACTGTTGGATCCAGAGGTTTTAACATTGGAGAAACATTGAGAAAAGCTGTGTTAAAGGGTAGCCACTTTTGCAGCTGTGGCCAGGTTCTCTGTCACTTTCTCCTAACAAAACCTGGCATGCAGGAACATGAGGGGCAGTTCTCATAGAGAGATGTCCCTAGATAGAAAGTGGACAATCCACTTTTCTCTGGTAAATCACAAGAGACAAAAAGCTGTCTGAGGAGCAGCCAGTGCTGGTTGGAGTTAAATGTGACCATGGAAAAAAAGTAGATGCTCAGTTTGGGGAATGTTGTGTTTTTCCTTAAAAATCTTTGAAAAATACTCCTTGTCAGTCTATCTCAAGACAAAAGGGAGTGGTGGAAACCACATTTGACTTTCTCTTGAAGTCAGTACTTCTATTTGTGTGTGGTAAGCAACTGAGGCATCTCCTCAGAAGCTGTAAAGAATTTCCTTTTATAGCTAGAAAGTTGGGCAGAGTAGACTATATAAAGGAAATTTTTGTCTTCCAGTTCTAGCCATAGATATAGCCTTGTGGTTGGGAAGTACAGCGTTTTGACAGAAAGTAATACAATTATTTCTATCTTCACTTCCACCCACATCTCCCAAGGAACAGTCCAAAGTTTGACCTTGACTCTGAACCAGGGATTCCACCTCCAGCCAAAAGGTATTCTTTATACTTGGAATCTCTAGTGAAATACAGAGTGATGGAAGAAAAAAATTTTCCTCAGAGTTATTTCCTGTGCAAGTTAAAGGCAAACACTACCATTGATTATATTTCATTTAAAGGAACCCAGAGTATGAGAATAGGCTTAAAATACTTCTTTCATTGACATACTTTTTACAACAAAACAAAAATTTCATTGGGTTTTTACCTCTACAAATAATGTGGTATTCTTAAAAAGTCCCAAGAAATCAAGCAACATTTTTACTTTCTAATAGTATGCTACATTCTGTAGTACATTTGATATGAGGATCCCAATTTGTTTTACCAGTGTTACTGGGCTTACTTTTCTCTAATTTTGTGTTTTAGATTGAACTCTAACAAACAAGGGGGAGAAGGTTAAAACAGATGAAATTTATTCCTTACAAATAAGAAGTAGCCAGGTAGAGCACACACATTACTTGGCACCCAAGTGGCCACATACATTTCAGCTTCATAATGCTCCTGTTGAGTGATACAACTGCAGTCTATTGATTACAACTGTGCAAGACTTTCCTAAAACACGGTGGTCATTCATAAGCAAAACCTTCCATATTTTTCCATATAAAAAGAAGGTTGGCATTTATGGTGCCATTACATTATTTCAATTGGAAACTCAGAATGTCAGAAAACAGCAAAGATTAGAGGGAAAGTCTAAACTGGCAGCAGATAAATGTCAAGATTGCAAAGGTAATGATCTCCTTTGAAACATTGGAAGCCCATCTTGGCATTTTAAATTAAGGATGACCTAGCTTATGGTAGAGATTTGAAACATTGTGAAACTTTAGAATAACTGAGATTGAAAGCAAAGAGAGTTATTGCTAATGATTAGCATTTCACATGACCTCTTACCTTGAGGATCACAAAGTACACCTAACAGTAGGTCTGATTGCTGGGCAGTAACAGCTACTCTTGTGGAAAGCAAGCATGAGAGGTCTCTGAACCAGCAGCAAACATTTTGCTGGCAGAGAAGCACCTGAGATACATACACAGTAAAAGAACAATTGCTCATCTGTTCTAAGGATATATTGTCTCATTGTTTTCCGGTGCAGAAACAGGAGGGGGAGATGGCAGTCTTTACATGCACTCCAGCAATAAAACATTTGTAGGACACTCATATAATCCCTAACTCTGCTGCTAATAAATGCAACAGATTTTGGTTTATAAATGAACACCTGAAGAGTTTGTAGGAAAATGCAAATTCCTGTATGAGAGACAGCAGTACTTTTAACACTGTGTTTAACACCGGAATACTAAGCTAAACAGCACCCTGGAGTAGGTGCTTATGAACAAGAGTTGAGGTGTTAAATACAGAAAAGAAGAGTTCTTTTGTGAATAGTGGATTACTTTGCATGTGTAAAACCAAGGTTTCAAAAGTGAAATTTAATAAAATGTGTCAAGAAGATAGTGAAAATCTCTACAATTTATATGCTGAGGAAATTGAGATTTTCTGTAATTTAGAAGTGCAAGAGTCTAAATTTTTGTTTTTATTGCAAGCAAGGAGAAAACATTGAAAGCAATGAATAGAAATAAATAGGAATAGGGTGGGTATGATCAGAAAACTAAAAATGGTAGCTTAGATGAGAAGAAGCTTCAGCCATGAGGGAATATCAAGAATATAGGAGCACAAATTCTATTATGTTTTGAAAAAATATATTAATGAATTTGTTCAGAATTAATATATTTCTAGCTAAAAGTTTCTTTAACTTTGTTATTTAAGTGGCAAATAGATGAATATCAGAAATAGATTTATAGTACTTAAAAGTTGAGTATTTCTTGGCCCTCACTATTGCAGAGTTAATTTTATCTGTTGCCTGTACTGGTGTCAGTCTTCATTATTTCACCATGCATGAATTTTCCTCCACCTGTATTTAAATGATGAAGCATGTGGATACTTGGATGTGGTGACTTTCTGGTTGCTGCCTTCCAGCTCTTCTTTTTTCCAAACCAGATGTTGAAGCTTAGTGTGTTTTTAATATGATACAGTGTGTACTTAAAGTGTTTACTACTAGACTGACATAGCAGGTACATGTAGTTCTGCCTCATGAGTGTCTTGGGTTTAGTATGTGGTCTCATTCACTTAATTTCAGTGACAGGTCAGTGGAAAGCAGGAACACAGCAGGTGGAATAGCAACAGCTGGAAAATGGTGAAAAACAATAACAAGTCTGAAAATGAAAATTTGTCAGAAACTCAGAGAGGTTGAACACAGGCACAACTTTATTCTTTACTGAGGCTTGATGGTAACTGAAGGCTTGAGCATCTTCCAGATATAGGATACCAATCCTAGCTGGCAGCCTGGATGGTCATAACTAAGCTCATTTAGAGCAACTGCATACTCCAATGGATTACATGAAGGTGTTTAGCAGTTAAATGAGAGAAAGGGTGGACTTACTGAAGTAAAAGCCTCTGTCTCCACACACGAACTGAAGAGCATCAACCAGCTCAGCACCACAGAGTGTTTCTGGGCCAGCAGCAACAGAACTGGTTAAGGTAAGCAAACACAGGCCAAGGTAGAAGAAATGGATGTAGGACACAGTGTGCATCTTCACCTGCCAAGAAAGCAGAAGCAGTGTCAGAATTTCCCCAGAGAGTCTTACAAAAAAACGACTCCACCCTTGTGAATGAGAATGAATATGTATTGTGATTTCTTGGACAATAAACATGGAATCAGGAAATATCTCACCATGATTTTGCAACTACTTGTTGAACTACTTGTAGAACCTACTTGTTCTAGTCCATGTATTTTGGAAACAGATTATTCTGGTGAATACTCACAACCACATCTAGTTATGGAACCCTGTAGTAACTATGACTTATATTTGCTTTTGGAAAGCAAAATATGGAAGGGCAGAATAGACAAAGAGAAGCCTGGAATAATAGGAACAAGGAAAACAACCTTGAATTTGTTTGTCTCAGACCAGATAAACTAAGAGGAAGTATGACAGGTGCCTGACAATGAACTGTGGGAAACAGGGGTGGCATACGATGGAGAAGAGCTATTTAAATTAAAACCAACACTGTCACAAGAATAAATGGCTCTAAACTTGCTGTAAGAAAATTTGGCCCAATAGAAAAAGACTTCATTATTAGTGCTCCACAGTTCTCCAGCCACCTTAGAAAGGAAAATACCAGGACAAACCAAAAATGTTGCAGGGTTACCTTGCCAAAGTTACAGGAGATGATGTGGGATCTTCTGTAGCAGAAGACCGCATTCAGTGACTCTTACAGTCCCCTGGTACTAGCAGGCCAATGTTTGGAAACATTTGAGAAATTAACAGGAGTGTGAGTTTTAATCCTTTAAAGATTTGTATTTTTGCTTGTTGCAAGCAGCTATACTTCATTGACCTTCATTGTACCCTCTTTGGCAGCTGAGGCCATGAGGTTTACACGGAGGTGACAAAATTCTCATTTATGTTTGGTTACACACTATCTTTTTTCCTGTACTTTTGACTGAAGAGAGGCCAGTCTACAATGGGTGTAAAATTGCACCAATCTGTTTATCCACTTCTTTTTGTATCCCTTTATGTCCACCTAATTTCTTACCCAACATGCAAAGAAGACAGCTTTTTCTCTTAATACTAGGAAAAGCTATTTTTGTGTTGTAGCAGGACACTGAATAACGTGCTTAATGCATATTCTGAACTTATTTAGATCACTTGCCAAAAATGATAGTTTTTAAAGGTGTAAATCTGCATTTAATTTCATTCTCTTTCAAGGTTAACATTAGCATTGCAGTCAGGTAGGAAGCCACAATTCTGTCTTCCACATACAGTTAAACTTGGTTTAGAACTGCTTTGTGTTAGCAGTCTAGTGTAAAGTAGTTGAAGTAAAATGATTAATCTTCCCTAAAGTTTCTTTCAAGGTTTCAGGGGCCATTTAATCTTTAATATTTCTTCTCTGAACTTTTGAAAAAAAATACGAAGTTATCTATTTTCTGATCAATTGGGATCTGATCCAATGGGGTATTGAGCATTTTTTAGTGAATAATTTTTAAGAATTCTTATTTTCTTGGCAAGAGACCTTAGTGCCCTGCTGGATGAGTCCCTTATTTCTGTATTACTGTGAAAATACTGAAAAATTTTAAATCCCATGATATATCAGAAAAAAAAGAAAGAATAATTATTTTCTCATTCACAAGTGTCTTTAGCCAACTTTGCCATGCAAACCCCAACAAGCTCAAATGCATGGACATGACTTCAATGGCAGATGGAAAAAGATCAGATTATAAATGAATGATGATAACATGAGGTACTATTTTCTGTAATGATTCCATATTTTAACAACAGTTTCTTTTTCCCTTTGCCATAATTTTGAATTTATAAGATAAATGTGATGCACCTGCAGTTTAAGATGGTTCCCAGTTCTGAGGAGGTAAAGCAGAAAGCTGTTTAGCACACTGCCTCAGAAAGCTGAAAGACATTACAAATACAAGAACATTATGTATTTAACAATTTGTTCTCGTATAACATTTGGTCCAGAAATAAACATAAATTTTAGACATTTAACAATTTTTTATTTTTCAAGACTTCTCAGCTGGCTTGCATTTTCAGATAAATATCAGTACTGAACTACGACAAAACAGATTATCTACTGTTTTTCCTTTAGTGGAAGCCAAAAAAGGCTTCACAGTATAAACCACAGAGAATTTCTAACTTTATCTCAAAAATTTAACAACAGTCAAGAACTTTCAAACAAGCAAAAACTTTACAGAAAAGAAAACAGGCTCACATGTTTCTAGGGTTCAATCAATTATTTGATAAATTAAGTACTGTTTCATCAAAGCAAATTCCAAAACATAGTTTAAAACTTGAACTTTACTTCATCATTTTAATTAAACACAACATTAATTGATTCAATATGCTCATGATAAAATCAAAGTATGCCTTTATATCTGAGGGGAATATTCTTAAGAAAATACAAAGTTGTAATCCAATATTGCTTCAGGTTCTCTACAATCAAGCAGAGTACTTACATTATCCCAAATTTGACTAGAAAGTTGAGAGCTTAAAAGAAAACGCATTGGTGTGTGGGTGGGGTTTATCAAAGCATCTAATTACATGAGGAAATTGAATACAGGTTCAAGATGAGCCTGGTTAAGCACTTCTTTTAGTTTCATAGAATGACTGACCATATTTTCACAGCTGGAATTTCCTCTTTTTTCAGTAAAATAGCCAGCTTTTGCTATATTCCTCTTTTAGTAGTCCAGAAGAGTAGCACCACAAAGGAATGTCATATATGAACACTCTTCATCTCATTTACTTCTTAATTCTTCTATGTAAGTCCCCTTGTTTAACAAACTATCACTTGACACAAGTTGTGCATAAGAATTCTTCACATGTTTGGTCATGTAAGAACATCTGCAAGAATTAGGAATATCTTGAAGGAGGTAACAATTTTTTTGGAGAGTATATGCTACAGCAAGAAATCAAGAGTTTTATATTTAAAATTACATTTTATTTCAGAGGGGTTGGGCCTGATTATCAAGCCATAGTAGAAATGTGCAATTATTATGAAATATCAATATTCACTACTAATTGTTATATAAATAAAGCATATACACTCTAGAGTGGATCAAGGTTTAAATGCTGTTAACTTTGAGCAAAGAATCTGGGCTACATGCTAACCTAAATCAATATGTTCCATTGATTCCAAGGAAGCTTGGCAGGATGCACAGCTGAGGAACTAGCACATTACTTTTATGTCTCTTAGTGCCTTGCTCAATACTTAGGAAAAAAAAAAAACAAACCCCTTCATCTTTCAAGAATATTGGAAAGGTTGCCCATTTATACATTAAGGGAATGATTTCATCCCTTGCAATTACAGACCTGTAATTAGGTCATTAAGGAATGAGATAAGTGTGTTTTAAGTGTAAGACCAACTAAAAAAATAATTAGGCCCTAAAAAATTAAGATAATTCTTTCAACTACATAAATGTCCCTGCAAAATATTAAGGGGAAAAAAAGTTCTTGAAGGATATAAATCTGCAGATAATGGAAAGCTGGATGGGTGCCAATTGACAGAAACAGAGGTCAATGCACCTACTGAAGTCAAATTTACCTTAAGACAGTTTATATTATTGTGCAGAAATTACAGGGTCATAACATCAAACTTCACAAGCAAACTTTCCTGAAAAAGCCCTCCCTAGAAGGGAAAACTTGGAGATGAACATGTAAGGGAATTTCCATTTTCTTTATGTACAATTGCTTAAGCTGTACAAATATGCAAGGTCAGCAAGAGTCGCAGCTGGTTTCTAATGTAGAAAACAAACTGAACTTCTCATTTACTTTTAATTTATGAAAGCAAAAACCAAGTAAATGCCACGATGCTGCCAGAAAATTGCTGCAATGACAACATCCCTTAAAAGTTTCCTTGTGAAAGCATGAACATTTTCTCTATAATTGTGTATAATAAAACTGCAGAAACTTAACATGTGAATAATACCTTTTTGCCTATAAAACCCTGCACCTGCAGAAAATAGCTAAAAGTTCTTGTTTTCAGAAGCATTCATTAACAGTATAGACAATGATGTAAGTGGACCTTTTAATAATGACATAACTGAAATATTAGAAAGTTCTCTGAATAGAAGTGAAATTTAAGACATGTATTTGCAATAGTTTACCCTTACAGTTATCTATGTAATTGCAACTATTACATACAGCCATTTTCCAGATCACATGAAATTGCATGTTCAGCAATTTATAAATAATTCTCAGTTCTAAAATAATGTTATTGAAAAGTGCACAATACTCCTCAAGCCAGCAGCAGACAATACACAGCAAAATAAAACTAAAAAATTATTTGAAATAGTAATAAAGATTTACCTTCAAGAAATCACACAAGCAGCACTTAACTAATTGTGTTGAAAGACTGTTGATTTTTTCCATTGCTTCTTGAAAGTGCAAAGTCTGGAAATGAATTTGTTAGCAGTAATGATGAGAAAAAAGAAATCCAGAGAGATGTGAGATGTTGAGAGCAATGTCACATTTCAATATTGAGGACTTTATTCCATTGCGCAGGCTCTATCTGCTCTGATTTTAGCAGTGACAGTGAGATTTAGCAAACAGAAGAGGGATTTAGAGAAAATCCTCACATTTATCTACATTACACAGACACTGTAGACAGGAAACAGCTGGGGGAGCATTTGCCTCTCTCTCTCCCTCTTCTGGCAAAGTTACCGAGTAAGGACTTTTTTGGGCATGGTGACAAATAACATCATACCTTTGCATTTTAAAACTAGAGCACAGAAGCATATTTTTTTCCCTTTAAAAGAATGTGAATTAGTGACTGAGGGGTTAGCAGACAAAAAGAGCTTGTGCTGCCATGAAAAATAAGAAAATGTATTCTGGTTAACTTTCAGGTAGCTGTGTGTGCATTTATATTTATGTGTGTGTGTCTGCATTTCAAATACATAAAAACTTAAATACATATGGGCAATGTTTGTATATATACATACCTTTATATATATACATATACATACACACATATATATATACATTTTATTTATGCATAGCAGCATAGGTATTTTATTTATATAGTACAGAAAGGCAGACAGTTATCTACTTTTCCCTTAATGTGTCTTTACGTTATTAAACTTGGCACGCCTATATGCTGAGTACCAATTAAAACCTCCAACTCTCTCTGTGATTAACCCTAAGATAGCAGTTTGTAATTCTCTAAGCATAACAGAATTGTTGAGAACTACTTGCAAATAGGGAAAAATAGCTTTGTGATCTTTCAGCAATCACACAGGAGAAATCATGTAATTTCCTAGAACTTACAGTACTATGAATATAGTAACACAAGTAGCCTGGTTTGGGGGACTTCCATGACATTTATCTTAAATCTGTTGTTGTAATTATAAAGTGATAGACCCCCCCTCCCCCCTTTTTAGTACTAATCTTCAAATTTCTCTTGATAACAATTTAGATGACACTGGAAAAGAGAGAATTCAACTTTATTAGTTCTGCAATACCTAACTTCTGCCTTTTTATTTTTCCTCAATTATGAGTATATTATAAATAACACCAGCTGGCCAGCAACATGCTCTCACGGGTTATGATGTCATTCAAATCCCTCAACTGTGTTAGTGGCTTGCAATGTGCTCCAAGCCAGCTGTTTTTCTATTTATAATGTATGCTTGCATTTCAATACTTAGCTATTGAGAATAAAGTTGTGATGTTGTTTTATAGACTCAGTTTATACTTGTTACCCTTTGGGTTTGGAAGATGGCATTTAAAAGTAGAGGATTAAACAAGGCTGCAGCTCCAGAGACCAAACACATGTCACAAGCAGTGCATGATTTCCATAAAAGCTGTTTCAGAACATTGCATTTTGTCCCTGTCCGCTTCCACTAAGTGAGGGTTGCATGCTGAGGTGCTAGCTGTACTTTATTATTGAAAATAACAATTGAGATCATGCTGGCCCAGATCTGCTCTCGATTTTCAGATCCACCTTGAACTATAGGGTGCTTGCCAGGCAGAAAGGACACATTTACTTATTTGTATCCTCTGTGAATGGCTAATACTCTGCTCTGTACTGTTTTAAACAGTGTTTGGTTAGCTAAGCTGATTAACCTTTGGAAGGGATTTCTTCTAATGTACCATAATGGCAGAAGCACAGAGGGTTTTGAGGTAAGTTTGCTTAGTTCAGATAAAACTAGTGTTTCAAGTATTCTGATACACATTTGTATCACAGGTGTTGTATTTTCATGTTCTGGTCTATTTTATTCTCCCCTCTGCATTTCAGAGGTCACTGAGTGGTGGCACCATTCTGCACATACTTTGATGAAGCCTGCTGCAACTCATAGGGCATGTATCACTTATTCCACTAGCCTTGGAGAAGAATGTGGGGAGACAAATTAGAAAGCTCTGATAATATTTTGCTTTTCCAGTACTACAGATAGGTGCACACACTTCTGCCCTTCTATTCCTAAATAAGAGAAAGGATACACTCCTTCATAACCTCCCTGTTGCCTGCACTTCAAACGCCCTTCTTACTCCTCATTGCTTGCTTTCTCCTCGGTGTCACCAGGCTCTCTTGGTCATGAAAGCAGCATGCAGTGGAAGATTCAGTTTTGGGCTGTCAGGGAAATCAGAGAATCACAGTGTCTCCAAACAACTGGTAATTCTGGTTCTTTCCACAGAGACATTCTCAACGCCTTTCCTCAACGCACCTGACCAGCCTAAGGTTCTGTTGCACTTCTTTCTTTTGGTTCTTGTTTTAAAGTAGTACTGTGAAAAGGCAAGAAAACAGAAGAGATTCAAGAAAGTTTTCCATTAGGGATTTTTAGACTTAGTGCAGTGCTTTCCTTCACTAAGAGGTTATTCCATTTTTTTTTAACAGAAAATTAAAAATCCCTTAGGTCATACTGATCTGGGGATCACTACTTTCCTAAAATACAGCTTCTATGCTCGTGATAATATTGTAGTCAGTATAGCAGTCAGTTAACTATTGGAGATTGGTTCATTTCTCCCTTGTTAAATATAATAATTTTTAAAACCACTTAAAGTACTGTATGACTGCAGGCTTATGCAGTTGTATATATTCCTTTAAATAAAATGCACCTGTAAACTACAGAGTTTATGAGAGTTTTCAAAGTATTTACAGAAGTTGTACAGATCAGAAAGGTTTAATATTTGGAATGTGTGTAGCTGTTCTACTTTAGAAGGCAATAGCATATACATCATTGTTTGGCTTCTTAAATGTAACCTGTGGCTTTATAGTGGCCACAAAGATATATGAAATGTGTGAGAGATGGAATCAGGTATTTAGGAATTTATGTGTCCTGATCCTCGTCTTTTGTACCTTATTACTCCAGTGATTTCACCAACATGCTCTAATGCTATAGAACTCATGTGTCAGCTTTTCCAGGGACAACTCTGTTTTATAGAAGATAGTAAATAAAAAGATATGCAATTATCCTAATTAATATATTGTCCCTACTTAAATCCTTTCTTAAAAGGTAGAAACATTGCCACAGTGCCTGAAAACACCTGAACCAGTTTGCCTTTGTCTTGGATTCTTCTCTGTTAGCTCACTCAAACAAAAAGCATTTGTAGCGGTTGTTTGGGTTTTTACACTGTTTTTTATTTTATTATTTTACACTATTACAAGTTTTCTGATAGAAAGCCAAGATAGAACCACTCGAGTAGATAGAAGCTCTGTAACAGATATCACCACTATAACAGATATCACTCAGAGGGTGATGGGCCAGAGAGCATGGTTTAGGAGAGGATGGAAGAGCGCAATAAACACCGTGGCAAAAAGCTGTTCTTATTTATATAAAATAGCAGAGACAAGTTGTTCTTTAGAGGAAGAGATGAAGGGGAGCATTTTATTAATATGGAATTCTGTGTTGAAGTTAGTGATTAGTCAAGTATAAGGTGGAACATTCCTTTCATCAAATCAATAGTTGGGAAGTCAAGAAAAAAAATTGTTTTGCTAGTTGATTTGAGCTAAAGAACTTTTTTTTAATAAAAAGCTTCAAACACCTTTTGTAATGGTGACCAAAGCAGCATCATCACTAGATGAAATGCAAGTAAATAAATTATTTATACATAAATAACAAATTTGATGGGAAGGATGAAGGCATGCAGTTTGAGCTGTCCTTACTTTGTCAGTATTGAAGAGACACCAAGGAGAGGGCAGTGCCATGGAAAACAGTTTCTCATTTGGGCAAAACAGGGAGAGTGCAAGCTTCATGATTAAGTTTGAGAGAGAATCACAGAAATTGAAATCCTTTGTATTTGCTGATCAAGAAAATTATGAGTGTTTCAAGAGCAGGTTGAACGGGTTAGAAAGTCCAGAATTACAGTTTATAGGTAGCAGTGGTAGAAAAAACTGATGGTATTAACAACTGTGATGGTGTATGGTGAAAATACTTTGATGAATAAGATAAAATTACTTCAAAAATTTAATGTATAGCACTAATTACAGTAGCTACTGTTTTGAATATCTTTGTATTAACATGGGGTTTTCCTTGGTTTTTGAAACAAATGTGCTGAGAGTAATACAAAGCCAAATATTGATCTTATTTCCCTATTCAAATGAAATATACATCAACTATTGGGTATAATTGTTCACAATTTAAACAATTAAATTTTTAAAAATTATAATATATTATGAAATTATACATTAATTAAGTCACATGAGATGAGCTATAGCTATGACTGTAAAACAAAAATACAAAATATTAAAATTATTATTAAATAAATAGAACTAAAAAGCTCAAACAAAATGTGTTTCAACATTTTTGAAAGCATTTTTTTAGGTTTTTTTTTTTTTAATTTCTGCTTTGTGGGAAATTTTGAAATAGTGTGTCCTGATTCAAAATAATCAAAATACCAGCATTTTCCATTAAACTGGAAATTCCCAGTTTTAGCTGTTTGCAGTCTTGCTCTCACTTTCCCAATATTAAGTCCTGAATAGGTCATCTTTGCTCAAAAATGTTGCTTACTTTCTTATTCCTAAAAGCAGCAAAAAGTAAGAATTACAAAAGAAAGAGATTTAGGAGATATGACTGCATAAGCTGTATCCTTGCAAGCATAGAAAGAAGGTAAAATGTGGGAATTGGGATGGGCAACTGTTAACATATGTATGTGTATGGAGGGTGATTTCTATGAGACATTTAAGTGCCTCTGTCACAGAAAGAAAAATTAATAACCTTAGATACTCCCTTATCTAAATGTGGAGTTTCTTCCACATTTAGATGAAACGTAGAGACATATTAAGTTTTCTCCTGATTCATCATTAGCATCAAGGCTAAATCTGTGCCCATGGGTTTTTATGAAATAGGGTCTATCACATATGTTTAATGGTATTTTGCTTTTTCTGTAAGTTAGACTCATGAGTGCCAATGCCTATGTGTGATTTTTTTTTTAAAATTTTATTTGCTGACTTAGGAAAAACTGTCAAAAGAACTGAATACTGTAAATTTTACTATGAGCAGGTTGTATATGTCCATACAAAGCAAACAACGTTAAGAAAGTGGCAAAAATGCCTATCTATTTTATCTTGGCCTGAAGAGTACTTGCGTGAGTTAGACACTTCAGAGACTACTCCTTATTTTACTTAAAAGCAAACTCTATTTGGAGATGAAATAAGATGCCTCTAAACAAAAAAGAACCTCTGC